TGAGCTGAAGAGAATTTGATTAGAATGTGCTCAATGAGATTCTCGATAAGTTCAGTTCTCTACGAATACTAATGAAGCTGTCCGTCAGCCGGGTGAGTAAAGCGAGTGGTCCTGGAGTGAATACTAGAATATGTGTCTCATGTGGCATATGATAAATAATAATGCCTCCATTAATTGCGCTCTCGCTCACTTCGTAGCTCGATAGACGCGCATGCCTTTCTTGTCTCTATTGCGGAATCTAAATAGCAATATTGTATGTGAAGTCTTAGCATGTAGACAGAGTGAGAAGCTTGCTATATTATAATCACCGAGCTATGCCGGTAATTCTACAAAGCATGTACTTACAAGATACATATATATACAACGCGCTACTTCATTCTTCCTATTAAGTGATTTACACATGCAGAATATTCTCTATAATATGATAGAGATAAATTTCTTATATTCTCTTGCAGAGCAATAGCTAAAATTCCATTCTTTATCAAAAATAAACAGTTTCAAAGTACATTTTTCCATCGGAAATATATATAACTTGTCTTAAAACAATATCTAATTCAGAAAAAGTGCTAAACATTTTTTCAAATAAAAATGTATTACAATTCAGGCTTTTTAATCCAACGAACCTGAAAAGCACGCTAAATACATGCAAGCGTGGTAAAAAAACATGAACCTGTCAGCGGCTTTTCCAGTGCATTCCTAGAACGCCAAGCTGCAATACAATTCCATCCTTTCCAAAACGATATGGAATGTCTTTATGAACGAAGACATTATATGTATATTAGACCATATATATTGTGTCCATATATTTGCATGGACGAGTCAAGTGAAAGTAATCAGAAAAAATAGAGTAAGCCGTATAAAGTTAATTAATAGTAGAATTACTATTTAAACTTCGTAAAAAAAGGAGCGATCATTTAAGCATTGTCAGAAAAGATCCTTACCCTTGACTGTTAGTATCACACATAAATAAAAAATATCCTGTATTTTCCAAGGAAAACCGTCTTTTTACAAACCAAATATGCATAACAAAATTACCCTAAGATCTGCTTTTCGTCGAAACTATAAATCACTGTAAAACAAAGAAACATTTAGACCTCTCAGTATGTCTCAAATAATATCAAGAACAAGAATCAGACAGGATCTGTTTTGTTAATGAAATCATCCCCCCCCCCAAAAAAAAAAAGATAACTTAACTACAAATCTTCCACCACAGCGTTTCTTGGAAAGCTTTGCTGCTGGAACGTACTGAGACCGAGCTACACGGCGTTCTCCACAGACGCAGTTCGGCAACTCCCCAGCGAGCAGCCTTGGCACAGATTCATGTTGTGGCGAGTCACGGGGTTCCCGGCGCCTCGTGCGGATGTACTCGGGGTTTGCAGCCCGTAGACGTCGGCGGCGATCTTATAGTACATGTTAGTGATGACCTGGAGGAGAGGGCGGTGGTGTAGTTCTACTTGTTAAAATCGCTCTTTTGTAAAGGGCCCTTTATAATTGTGGTTGAAGCTGCTCCCAACAAGTTTTACTTCGATCACGAGCTTGTTTATCTTCTGCAAAAATGACAGAACGTGGAGCGGACTTCGTCAGTGCACGTGTGGTGCAGTGGTTGCTGTTGTGTCTTGGTGCATCACGTGTGTCCTAGGAATGTAGAGTTCCCCTAGTGCAGCTCGCTCCGTATAGTGCTCGTATGGCGAGAGTAATACGTAGTAAGATTCTTTCCTTGATCCGAGCAAGGTATCTCTGCACGACCTTTACGATAAAGAACCTTCACGGACCTCATCATGATCCCTACCCTTACTTATGAATTACAACTGTGACAACATAAGAATAGTACCTTCTGGGCTCTTCGGTGTGTATACCCACAGCGGGTAGTCAAAGCGACCCGGACCTCGCAGGAGGCGCATATGGCTGACACCGGCAATCTCCGAGGATATACGATTTCGCCGCGCCTCATGCCCCCGTCCCCAGTCGAGAAGATAGACCATCTGAGAACGTCTTACCATGCCTGTGCTCGGAAATAATGATGTGTGCCAGTCCGTTGGCCTGGAACCTTCTCACTTAGAATAGATATGACCTTATTTGAGGTCTGTTTTGACTTATTAAGTAGATGAACGTACGATTCGGTGCGCATAGCATAGACAAACGCAGCATACATCCGTTCCATAAAATTTCTCGAAGACAATTGTGTTTATTCTTGTCCGCTCACAAATTACCACTGATTTTACCGTGAGAGATACCACTAATTGAGAGTGATATGTGTTTATTTACTATGTTGGTTGGTAATATATAGTGCACTCATGTGCTATAGATATTTAATGATATAAAAAATGATAAAGTATTATAGGGGAATTTCTAAAGTATTCATGATATTCTTATTAGAATTTGTACCTCAATGTCAGCTATTTAATAAAGTCATACGCTTTACACATTACTAGAGTACAGGACATCACACACACGCCACCTCACTCTCACACCACAACCAACAGACAGCGGACCACCTTACGACCACAACACACCCCACACGCCACCGAGCCAGGCACACATATTGTGATAAAACAACATTCCTTATCAAAGACATACATACATACATACGATGTGTACGCATTCTATATATATTTAGCCATGATAACGATCTAGACATCACATTCCTACATTTACTACTAGCTATGTAGCTTATCTAGCTTACTAAAATAGAGTAGTGACTATCTATATTATGTAAGCTGGCGATTAGACATATCCGTACTCATGTTGTAGTTTGTGATGTGTGTGTGTGTGGTGTGGTCGTGGCTGGGTGTGTGGTGTGTGTGTGTGATTATGTGTGTGCTGCGTGTGTGCGTAGCGGTGCGGTCGTGGCGCTGTTATAGTGTAGTGCTGTGGGTGTGCGTACTCTGGCATACTCGTATTATAGTAACTCATGCGTTATATATGTATATTATATATCTCATAACTCATGTAGCTCATATTTCCCTTATAGTGTACTACTATATTTGTTCTTAATAATGCTATGGTGTGTATAGTATATGATATCCTGTAACGCTGCTGTGGTGTGTGTGTGTGTGTGTGTGTTGTGGTGGATCGTGTGTTTGTGTTTACTCGTAATAGGGTGATCTCCTCATTTTGAATTCCCATTAATACACTTGTGTGCTCGCGCAGAGTATCCATTATTCTTTGTACCCTGCTAATAAGTATTTAACAGATATTATATTCCTCGATATATGTTTATAGATATATGTATATATTTCATACTGTTATATGTGTGTGTATGGTGTGTGATGTGTGGTGTGTGTGTGTGTTTGGTTGCGTGTTGTGTGTGTTTGTGACTGTGTATGTATCTCATTTTGATTCCTATTAATTACTTCGGTTTCTCATAGCCAGATGTAGGCCACTTGTGAGACCCATTGATTATATGGTCACTTTAGATTATGATCTCTGTTCTGACACACAACACGTGTCTCTGTATGGATAAGAGAGCACGAGAGTCTGGAATGACGCTAGGCGCAAGATCGAAATGCCAGCTGAGTGGAAAACCAGAGTCAATCCGGCTCGGCGGTTATGACATATATCTGCAAGCCTACCTCTCGCGTAGAACTCTGTGGCGTAGTCACTGAACGTGTTCCAGCCGCTGAGCTTCTTCAAGACGGGGTGGACGGCCTTCGCAGCAGCACTCGTCTGGGAGGTGTCGCGGAATAAGAGCTCTCTGTGTGTTCAGAACATTCCTCGACACACCTGTGGAATGGAAAATTACCCTAATATGCGAGGTATATTAGGGTCTCAGCTGTCTCTATGAATAAGGATAATCAAACTCTGATATTACAATTATGTACTTCATAATAATAACTGTACTGAACGGTAGCTGTAAATATTTTTCAGTATAATGTATTATAAGTTATAATACAAACACTTACGGTTGGTCTTTGGTGCGACAGGACATTGCGCAAGAACACGGGCCGCCCTAAGGTTTCGGTCGGAAGGTCCAGGCGGTGAAAATGATTATACAAGGGCATGCGTCTGCGCGGTGGCGGCAGCGGTCGGAGTTTCCCGCGAAAGCCTGGGGGAGGAGGTGGCCTCATGAACGGGTCTGCGTATTTAGGGAAATGGCTCCTTCGGTGTTCCATTGGGAGCGTCGGCGGGGTTTCCATAATGGCAGCGGGATTGAATCCTTGACTGCCGTTGTTTCTTTTGTGAGGCCTCTTGATGGGATACCAGCAGCCTCGTCGACCAACAACCCAAAGCCGAAGCCCTGTCCCCCAGAGTCCTGAGGCGAGAGAGTGTCTGTCTCGACGAACCTGCCGGCGGAGGCGTTGGAGGAGGAGTCGGTGGCCATTTCGGGAGGAGAAGCGGCGACCGAGGAATTGGAGAGAGTGACGGTGGGAATGGCACTCGCAGTAATGGAGATGGCATCGGCGGCGGGGGGGGAGCTGACAGGGGCCGGGGGAGTGAGACTGCCTTCCCCCGAGCGAGACCCGTCGTTTTGTCCCTGGAAGGAGTCATCCGCTAGATTGCAATCCTGCACACTGCCCTGAAGTAGTAACGCATTGCTGTCATCAGATTTGTCGTTGAGGGAACAGCCGCTCTGTCGTGGTCGAGTGCGATACGTCTTGCAAGTTCAGAGAAATATCCTGTGCCGTGGGGCATATCGCATACATCAAGCCACCCTGATAACCTTGGTAAGGTGACTGTTCATGCTGGCCGAGCGCATAGCCACACGAGCCACAGATGGCCTGATCAGAAGGACTTATTTGTCCAGAAGTCTCTAGCGGCCCCTCGGAAGCCTGGACGTCGCTGGGCGGAGGCTGCACGAAGAAGTTCTGCGAGGAGACACAGGACGTCTGGCAGTAGGAGTAGACGGGCACCAGGTAGAGCGCCCCGGGCTGGGTGGGCGGCTCAGGGAACACCTCGGGCCACATCCCTGCCCCATACATCCCTGGGGAAATTAATTCGGACATTACTTACTCGTTCTGACGCGTTATCTGCAGTTTTAAGTTAAACATGGATAGAGAATA